CACAAACAGAAGGCGGCCCCGCAAAAGTGCAGTAATTACTTACAGCAGAAGGGTACGAGACTGTGGACGGGCATGCAATTACAGCAGCAAAGGTGCCTGGTGACGCAGTCCACATGGGAGGCCCACAACGGATGAGAAAGGTGGGAGGCAAAGGGGGGCGGCCAAAGCAGCAGCGTAAAAGGAAGCGGTCCAGGGGGACATGAAGGGCGGCTGACAGAGATAACAAAACAGGGGAAAAGCAGGACAACAGCATAGCCCAGAGAAGGAAAAAGCAGGAGAATGGGACAAGAGAAGAGCAACCGCACCCCCTGAAAGAACAGCAAGCAGTGGGGGAACTGTATGCGAAGCAAAACAGGGCAAAAACTGAATTAACCCACCCCGTCGGGAAACGAAATAAACCGCGAGAACGGGAAGTAAACGTGGGGTACACAGCAAGTGGCCAAAGGAAACCCGGAAAAGCGGCCAACAGCATAGATGATGCCGTCCAGGCCGGGCAGATGGAGGGAGTGCGGGATGGTGAAAAAAAAAAGGGCCGAGGTACACCAGGGGGTAAAGAAAACAGGACCCTAAAAGGAACGGGGGTGCTCGGGAAAAAGCAGGAGCCAGTGGGGAAAGTGGGGCACAAAGCGAACAGTGTCGGGAGTGGGAGCTTAGGTCAGGCGACAGAGGGAGAGGAGAAGGAGGCAGGCAAAACAAGAAATGCGGGGGCGCCAGTACAAAAACCAAAAAAAAGAAGAAAATAAAAAACCCCGTAAAAACCCCAAGACATGGAACCCAGGGGACCCATGCAAGAGACAATCCTGAGCAAAAGGTGCGGTAGAAATGCAGACAAAAAGACCTGGAAAAACAGGACAAAGACAACAATGGCAACCCAGCAATATAGGGGACGGTGAGAAAGAGTAGCAAATAGGCAGAGTTAGTCGATTGAAGAAAGAGGGGGGGCAGGAGGGGAAGAGAAGAAAAGATGGTGGAGTGCACCCAAGGCAGACCAGTGCAGGCGAGAAGAAGGGAGAGGCGTGGGTCCGGAGAGGGGCAAGAGAGTGCAGGAGCCGCACAGCCGGGAGTACAGGCTGGGGGGCCATGTCTGATGTGCTGGGCCGATAGAACCGGGTACAGGCGCCCGGAGGCCCGAGCAGATGGAAAGGGGCCGCTGCGCAGGGATGGGTCCCGCAGGAGTACGAGTGCACCCTCCGCAGACAGCCGAGGGAATAGGACTATCTCTGGCCAGACGGTGTCCAAGAAGTGCGCCAGCGGTCGTGTCACCACCGCGTGAAGGCGGCTGAGAGGCCTGGGGTGCACGGGAAACCAACTAGAAAGCCAGCGCAGAACGCGCGAGAGGCCACAGGGAGAAGGCAACAGCAGAAGCTGGAATGGGGCGCGCCGCCAGTGCGCCGCAGAAGTGAGACCTGGGCCTGCCGTGCAACTGGAGAGAGGGGCCCCAGACAGGCCTCGGGCACATACCCCCAAGAAGTGTGAAAACGGCGCACCGCTCCACCGACCGCACGTGGCCAAGAAAAAGAGCAAAGGTGGAGTGACCCGCGTTCCGGAAATCTTACAGAGACCGTGGGCGGTGGGGAAGACCAAGGAGGTCGGAGCACCATGACTCGGAGGGGGCACCGCTGGCGAAGAGGGGCTGCATGCAGTGGGGATGAGAAGGCCGAGCACGAGCAGCGGCAAAACTGAACAATGGAAGGACCGCAGGAGAAAACAAGTCAGGGGGAAGAGAGGGGAAGCAGAGCGCAGAACACACCCCGGGAGGGCACCGGGACCACAAGGGGAAGAGAGGGTGCTGACCCCACGCGGACACGAACGGTCGACGGTGAGGAGAAGTCCACAATCCAGGGCACAGAGAGGAGTTAAGCCCAGTGGGAGTCTGGGGACGGAGGGGTGGGAGGCCGGAGCGGGAGGAAAAGCCAGCTGAGCACAAAGAGGAGCCGGCAAAGGCCGGGGGCCAAGGCCTGCAGAAGGTGGCAGCACGGGCGAGCGCAGCCGCGGGACCGGTCTGCCGAGGCAAAACGGGGGAGGCCCAAGAGTGGGAAAAGAGCTGCAGGGGAGAGACCAGGCTGCGCCAGCAGTGGGGCGGAATGGGGAGGGCCAAGCGCGGAAAAGCGGCAGACAGGACAGGGACGCGGTGAGATGGGGAACGAGGGGGCGGCGGGAAACCCGGATGGGACCAGGGAACAGGACAACGAGGGGGAATAGTAGAGGTGAAGACCGGCCCGCCAGGCCCGCCAGCACAAGGTCGGGAGCACCCGGCCCAGGCAGCGCCAGCGGGCCCGGCCCCGTGCCCCGTGGGTGGAAGCGTCCGGAACCAACGCCGCAGCGCAGAAGGCCAGGACGAGCAACGCGCGGGAGGGAGAGGACAGGACCCAGGGGCGGGGTGCGCCCGAGAACCAAAACGGGCAGAAAAAGAGGATGAGCAGCCCAGCCAGAGAGGAGGGGGGGGGGGGGGCTCCAGACGGCAAGGGCGTGAGGTAACTTAACAGGTCAAGGGGCAAAAATAGTGCGTGACACATAGGGAGAAAAGTCGGTGCCACCATGCTGCGTCATCAACCGAACCAGAATGCTTGGCGGAGAGAGTGAGGAATGGGCACCACAGGTCAAAGTAACCCTGGGAAAGGTGGACAACACCAACAGAGGGAGAGGCATGGGCAGCCAAACACCGGGGGACTGAGCAAGGCCAAAACAAGATGACACACACGGCAATGGACAAGAGCGGATAGGAATCATGGCCGAGTCGTGGTGGGAAGGAAAATGAAACAGCCACCAGTGAAGATGGTGAAATACTGTCAAACAAAAAGCGTGCTGACAGGCCAAAGCCGAGCACAGGGGAGGGCCGAGCGGGAGTGCCTCGTGCCTGCTCGTGCGTGTGGGAAAAACAGTGGAAAAACCAGCGCGCAAGGGCCAGCCCAGCGGGGTGCGGCCAGGGCGCAGCGGACAAACAGGCAGAGGAAAAAAGGGACGTGAGCAACAGGCAGACGTCCAAGACCCCGGGATGGCAGTACGGGAGGCACAACAAACAACGGGGGAGGGGTAAGCGTACAAAAACCCTTTCACCCACCCACAACCCGCGCGTTGGCCGGGGGAACAGCTGTCTAAAACGTAAGAACACACAGACGCAACGGGTTGGCGACCAGTGAGGGTGCTGGCGACGGTGCTGGGCCAAGAACCTGGGAGACAACACGAGAGACAGGTGGAACAGAGGGGAAACCAGCGGGGCACAGTCGGGTGGAAAGATGAAAAGGGGGGTCCAGGAGAGCAGCGGACCTGAAGTAAGGAGAGCAAGAAGAGCAACCAAGTAGCAAAAGAGACGGGAGGGATGACCTGGAAGTGGGTCACGCCCGAGGGGGAAACGGAACCAGGCCGCCGGTGGGCGAATGGGAGCAAACGGCAGTACGGCGAGCGGAGTGCGGGGGAAACAGGCAGCAGTCAAAGGCGGAGCAAACACGGGAAAACATAATGCACGAAACGCAGGCACCTGGCCACACGGACGAGCAAGCAGAGGTCGGGGGAGCAGGCGCGTGAGACCAGAAGGCAGAGGAGGGCAGGGTGACAGGGAAGAAGGGCGTGCAAAGAAAAACGGCGCCGAAGCAACCGAAACCCCCAGCAGCGAAACCACTGGCGCTCAGAAAAAAAGGAAAAAAAGGAAAAGAAAAGCAGCCAGAAAACAAACCGAACAGAGGCTGACAGGAACGCAACGCCCAGTAGCATCAGACAATCTGAAACATGAACACAAGGCAGACGGAAACGAAGAAGAAGGGAGAGGCACACTGAAAGGGAGCCGCAAGAAAGAGAGCAAAAAAAGGGCCTAGCAGGCAAACACAAAACACGGCAAAGTACAGCGGACCGGGCACGATGACACAATGCATGTACCACACCGTAGAAGGCCTACCACAGGAGAAACGGACAGGAGACCGCACCAATAAACGAGCAAGGCGCCAGAAAGGAACGGCAGGAACGGGACTGCAACCCACAGAACACCAGAGCAGGCCCAAGAAAGAACCCACCCGCCACAACACGAGCACGACGGTACAAAGAGCAAAACATGCACCAGAAACCTGCCAAAGGGCGACCGTCAGAAAGAAATGACTGCAGAAAGTACTACGGAACCAACACGGGGCTCGGGGAGCACCCAAAAGGAAAGGAGGCGGAACTGCCAGACAGCGGAGTAAGAACGCAGAACACCAGGAAAATGCAAACAAGCAAAAACAGAGAAGGAAAGAGATGAGTAAACAACAGGGAAAAGGAAAAAGGAGACGCCTACGGGAGTCGTGGCCAGGACTCGGTCCCAGAAAGCCTGGCCACCAAAGAAAGCACCGCCATATAACAAAGAGCGACGCAGCGGGACCAGACGACGGGAACTGGAGAACCCACAGCCATGGAGAGAGCACTCAGCCGGGAAGCCCCACAGGAGCGACGCCAACAAACAAGAACAAAAACAGACAAAAGAGGCCAACAGGTCCAACACACAGAACAAGCCTCAAGAAAGGCAAGGCCACAAGAACGAGCGGAGGAGAGAATCGGGTGGGGGACGCTACGAACACAACGGACGCGTTCACAACCTTATTGTTGCAAAAACATTGCTCCCTTTTTTTGTCATAGCCAGCTTCCCGCTCGCTTCCCTAACTGCAGCTGATGCGACAGGGCTTCGGCGTGGGTTTGCTGCCGTTGCTGCAACTAGGAACCGGGGAATATGGAGGAGTGAGGTGTGAATGTTTTTCATTTTTGTTCTCCATTGTGGGTGTTTGTGGAGTGCATGTTCAAAATAGTTGTGAATGGAATCAGCTGAGGATGCTAGTTGGTTATGCTTTTCATATCTGAAAGTGCAATTGTTAGTACCTTGATATCTTTTGAATCAGATATCTGGGCCTAAATCCTGAGAAGCCATGAAAACTCTCCAGTAAGCTCCCATCCAAAAGCATGGCGTGGTCTGCTGGTTCCATTCTGCAGCCGTGTCGTTCTTTAATGGTGAGGCAGGAAATGGACCCAAAGATGCAGACTTGGAGGCAACCAAAGACTGACCTTTATTTAGTTGGCAGCTGCAAATCCATAGTACAAATGAAGACAGAGATGAACTAAATCAAGGAAGTACTACAGCAAAACAGAACTAGGCATGGGGAACATAGGAGGACATGAAAAACTTAACACCTAATATCAGAATAAAAACATAACCTAGGCAAAGGTAACATCCAAACTGAAAACTCCAAAAATCTAAAAAGGAGAATATAAAACAGGAAACTGGGTATGCCCGGTACAAAACCCAGGCTGCAGCTGTCTTATAAAATTGCTAGCATGGGTTAACATAACACAAAGCTTTATTATGCTTGATCGTGAACTCTGAAGAGCTTTATTCATCATCGTTCTGCAGATTGGCCATTGATGCAAAAGCTTCTTGAGCCCAGGTGACGCTCTGGCTCACACAGATGCGTCTCCCGGTGGCTGTACCGATCCTGCAGGAAGATTACAAGAGAGTTAGGATAGAAGATACCACGCTGTGCCTCGTGTTTTCATGCATTCTGTTTTGTGTTCAGAAATTACAATTACTGAAATTACTCATTGTGGTGACATACACAAATGCTTTTTCCAGACAGGCGCTGTGAGACTTGAAGACAGAGACTATTTTCTTCGGTGGTATCCTTCCAGTAAAGAATTTGAAACAGCATTGTCCAGGAGACATTTCAAACACTCCTTGAGCTGAAAGAAAAAAATAAAAAGACAGTAAAAAATTCAGTTTCATAGCAGCATGTGTCAAAGGTGTTGAGCACTCTAGCTGGAAACTCAGTCTTTAAATAGAAAGGCAGTGACATTAACACTGTCAGAGCGCTCAGGTCCTTTATGATATACACTGATGATGTTTTAAAATAACTCATCAGCCCAAGATTAAATTTTAAACAGAGTGGAGTTGCTTTCAAGTTTTGTAAAATGTAAAATGCATTAACAATAATAAGTTAAAGTTAACAACGAAGTGTAATCTGAGGTTCAGCTGATCTGAACATTGAACTGAAAGACAATAAAAAAGATTTTTAAACACCACAGTTATTTAGGGATTTCTTAAAGCCAGCAGAACTTTTGTTCCCTTCTGACTCTACTAACACTCACTGAAGATGAACTATCAGCTCCCATTAAACCCTTCAACCAGAACTCATGTGACAGTAATCTGTATTGATTAGAATAAACACAACCTTAGTCATGATCATTATAATGGTCCTAAATGACTCGTGGCAAGATAACTAGCTAATACTGCAGAATTCCTCTTAGTTGACGCTGTTCTTTAGTGATGCAAAAATCCATTTGGGGCTCATTTAACCAGCTGGTAACACAGCTGTGAGGATGATATTATTTTCAACATGTTTTGTAAACTAAGAGAAAAAGGTGATTCAGAATCTTGAAATTGACATTTCTAAAATGCAGTTGCACAAAATAAAAAAAATCATAATAAATCCCTCCAAAAAGTTTCATAACAGATTAAAATGCAGCATATAGAACTGATTAACAACAATAAGTTTATTTAAAACCAGATAAAAACAGGTATAATTGGAAATAATTCGTCTAAATTTCAGGAGCAGGAGCGTTCCTCCATACACTCCCCTGCACTACTATCTGACTGGCCCAGGAGCCGCCACCAGTCCCCTCTGAGGCCTTCCTCAAACCCCAGCCTCAATTCATGCTCAAACCATCTGCCATTATCTACTAGAAATGCTGTCAAACCTTTTTGCAGATGTGGTCCCAGTTAATTAATCCGAGGTATAATGTTCACTCATTTTCTTAGTGTAACTTGTAAAAGTTACGACCAATCAAAGAAAAACATTAAAGGGCCTCAGATTACATTTATCTTCAGACTGTAAAGCAGACTGACAGACTTACGTGCAGCAGCGCAGTAATAAACCGTGAGCAGCAGAAGCAGCAGTCCCACTGTGGCCTTCATGTTTACTCCTCTCTGGATGTGATGATGTCCTTCTGCTGTTGCTGTAAGAAGTGATCTGAATGTTTAATGCAGTCTCACGCTCACTTAAAGGGCCGTTATATGTTTGTCACGGTGAGTTTTTCCTGTCACTTAAACACAAAGATTAGAAATCACCAACCAAGCGACATCTCTGCAGCTACTCCACACTGCATACAGAGACAGATAACATCAAGAGATATAAAAGTATTCGACTCAACTAAGTAGTTACATTTAAAATATATTAATCTGAAATGAGATGACCCAAATGCATACTGTACAAGGAGAAAACGCACCTTTTATGAGGACAGTCCAAAGTCCAAAAGATGCAACAAGTCCAAAGAGTGCAAAAAAAGCAACATAAGTCCAAGAAACAGACAAGAAGCACACAAAGGCAGATCACTGAGGAGTTAAAGAAATGCCACCTCAAAGATTAAAGGGAGATGGCTGTAAAAACAGGATTATGTAACAATAGGAAATGGGAGGGAAACTAAGGAGAGCAAATGGGAAAGAAGAAAAACAACACAGAGGAAGTAAAACTTGACACAAGACACAAAAGAAACAAGCTAACACATTAAAACAGGAAGTAAGTAAATACTGAAGCCAAGCCACAGAAAATAGACACTGGGAAACACTGGAAAAGGCTTTGAGAACACAAAGAACTACAACGAATAAACCCGAAGGCAAAATACTAAACAGAAAATAAACAGGAAACAAAAGTTAATCAAGAGATTACAATGGAAAACTAAAAATGAAAGTAATTGAGAGAAAAGCTCTAAATAATCCTAAAATCCACAAACTCCCATGATGGAAAAAAACATGAACGTGACACGAAAAGAAAGGAGTGAAAGAATAATTCCAGTTTTTTTCTTCCACGTGTATTTCTTTTTTCTAACACGCCTCTATTAACCCTTACAATCCATATGGGCTTCACTAGGAAACAACATAACAAACATTTAGCAGAGTCAAATGACTTCACAGTAGTCATGGGCACCTGCTCCAATCAGAAGCTGGGTGGTTCCATATGTCCCAAAATTACACTCACTTGACACTTTCTCTGGTACAACGTGCCTTTATCAGGTTTTCCCCATTTTACCATCAGAGCTGTCTCAGTTCTTCATGGCACAGATTCAAAAAGATGCTGAAAACATTTCAGAATTTGGTGAGCGAATTGTGTGCTGTACATCCATGATGCATCTCTCCTGTTCCAGCACATCCCAAAGGTCCTCCTTTGGATTGAGGGGTGACGTGGAGCTCATTTGAGTACACTGACCTCACTGTCATGAGCCTTCTCTATAAGAAGTCATTACTTCCTTCCAGGTCCACAGTGAGCTTTCCACACAGACAGAAAACTTTTTCACCACTGAGCTCTCCTCCTATCTCAGCTTCTGCTAGAAAAATAGACCAGCTTGATTAGAGGACCTGAAACCTTTAGACCCGAGCCTTCCACACAGGGTGAGAAAGGCCCACGGGAGCTGTTTGTCAGTAATGGAGGTTCAGGTGTCTGATATGGAGTGTCCTGCAGAGCAGTCATAGAGATTACATGAATATACGCTGACCTCATTATTTGAAACTCTGGCCATGTTTAATGTAAGTCTCTGCGATGTAACAACACACATGTAACAGGAAATAAGGATAAAGACAGTAATGTAAGTAAGTAATTTTACTTAGGACTTTGTTACCAGGTCACAAAAATAAGTACGGATGTCACAAAGATGTCTGAGTTTTTAACAGGGCCCATAACAACTATTAAAAAATATTTAAAAAAAACACACGAAGTTTCATTCACCTTTCATTCCTCGAGTTAAATTCAATTTTATTAATACAGCGCCATACATCTCGCAATCTGTCAGATTTCTTTTGTCACCTTTACAAATGGTTGAAGTCGCATTCTTTTAGCAGCCAGCAGGGGGAAACTCATGTCCAAGAAAGGAAATATCACCGCAGATGAAACTCTCTCAGGCAGATAAATTAAAAGCATTAAAAGCAGGAAGAGCCGCTGAGGTGACTGGTTGCTAAACTGCAGTTCATGCAAAGATAGAATGTATATTATTTATTTTATTATTATGTGTGTGAGTGATAGTGTGTGTGAGTGATGATGATCAGATGAGATGAGTTTTAATGTGAGTAGTCAATATTTATCTGTTAAATCATATCAATTTGGTGCTGACTAAATGTTCAAAATTTAATCTGAAAGCCTTTAAAATTTTTATACTAGATATTTTTCTTTCCTCGAACAATTTAATGAAATTATTAAAACACAAACAAACAAAGAACACTAAAAAAATAAAAAAAATATGTAATTTCACACGTTGATTTGGACCCAGAACTTTATAACCGCAGCTATCTTAAACTTCTGTAGCACACAGCGAAACGTCTGGAACACAGTTCAGTTTTAATAGCTTTAAGCTGAAACGGTGTTGAAAGGTTAATCAGAACACGAGAGTTCATGTTCAGGTTACACGAAACAACCGCTGTTTTCGGCCTCACTCCTAATCAGAAGGCCATGTGTCCGCTACCAGTATGATAGGCTACTGGATGTTTTTTTTTTTTGGCAGGGTAAAGATGAAGTGTGTAAATTTCTCCTTAAAAAACAAAAAACAAAACAAAAAAATAAACACCCGATTCAAAGCCGAACATTTTTATTGAAAAAACATGCGTGGGTTGTTTTTTTTAATATATATACACAAAGCATTTTGGAAAATACAGTCATTATAAAATTGCTGCTAGCATGGGTTAACATAACACAGAGCTTTATTATGGCTGATCATGAACTCTGAAGAGTATTCATTCATCACCGATCTGCTTTTGCTTAAAAGCTTCTTGAGCCCAGGTGACGCTCTGGCTCACACAGATGCGCCTCCCGGTGGCTGTACCGATCCTGCAGGAAGATTACAAAAGAGTTAGAACAGAAGATACCACGCTGTGACTCGCGTGTTTATGGATTCGGAGTTTTTTTGTTTTTGTTGCTGTTGGTGGGGTTTTTTTCGGGTTTCTTCTTCTTCTTCTTTTTTGCCTGTCCCATTCGGTACTTAACAATAATTATTATTACCGGGATTATTGTCTGAAGGACAAGAAAGATGCCCAACTGATTTTTTTTTCCATTTATTTTTGGTCATGGCTTTGCCAAATTGCTCCACTTGATAGATCTTAATAAAATATTATTATTATTATTATTATTATTATTATTATTATTATTATTATTATTATTATTATTATTATTATTATTATGGAAAGAAGGGAAAGAAAAACAGGTGAAGAGGGACAGTGAGAGAAGACCCTAAAAAAGCATGCACACTGTTTTGTGTTCAGAAATTACGATTACTGTAATTACTCATTGTGGTGACATACACAAATGCTTTTTCCAGACAGGCGCTGTGAGTCTTGAT